AGGAGCCCAGAGCAGTTGGACCCTGCAATAGTAAGGGTTGGCCCAGGAATTAGCTTCCCTATAGCTTTCCCAAGCCTGGCAATGTATTCGATATGTCAAACACAGTAACAATTGTCACAATGGAGATGCTACTGGGCCTGCTTGAGCAAATTGATGAACAATGAGAGAACAGTGACAGTGGACAGTGATAGTCAAATATCCCTACCCCTTACACAAACACACACACACACACACTCCTGCTCCCTGCAGCCTCAACTCTTCTCCAGCATTCTCTTGCCTGTTACCTCTTCCTCTACCCACCCACAGTAGCTTAAACCTCAGGTCAGGTGAAGCTCACTCTCAGGCCAGGCTGAGGGCAGAGAACCTGCCACTCCACCATTATTCTGGTTTCAAGTGATGCCTCTCAAAAATCTACCAAAGCCAGCCCAGAGTTAGAATATTCGAGATAGAAAACAGTCTCCCCGCCACAGCTCTGCTCACCAACTACTACTGAGCTGGGGCAAGCAAGGACCTGGGTAACTGCTGAGACAGAGGAGCAGGCAGGGAGGCAGGGGAGGGGTTGGGATGAGTGGGGGCATGCCAGTGGGGTGGCACATGGTTTGGGGCACAGGCGGACTGGCATGGCAGGAGGGTAAGGAACAGCTCCTCTTCCGGCCAGGGTGCCTACGTGTAAAAGGGAAGGTGTAGCGGTGCCTCACCTACGCGCCCTCATGTTACATGTCTGGCATTCTGCCCAGCTCCCAAGAGCTGAATAACATGGTATTAGCAGAGATATTACCACTGAAGTTATATTACTGATTAGGATAATTTTATTAGCCTCAGGAGCAGAAATAGAAAGAGTCTTGGGGGTGGCGTGTGGGGCCTGGAGGTTGGGTTAAGTGGTAATGATCCAGTTCACGAGCCAAGAGTATAACGGGGTTTGCCGGGATCGGCACCATCTTTAGCTACATCTTCAGCTGCTGGAATCTTATGACTAGTGAAACCATTAGAAAACGGGGAGGATGAGATTATGCATGAAGATGCTATGGAGAGTATATGGATGCCACAGAGAGTAGAACATATCCTTATGTGCCGGCAACTAGAGTGTTCCAGCAAGCATGTTCCCTCCTTCACGTGTGGAGCTCAGATGAGCCTGATGCATGAAGGAACCGGCAGAGGAACCCAGGCATGTGGGACCCAGGGCTGAGATCTCCAAGCCTGCTCAGATTGGAACTGGGCCTCCTCCACCCAGATCCCCCATCTTCTAGTAGGTAGGCGTTACACCCACCAACTGCTCCCGGCACAGTGTTATCCAATCAACGGCCAAGACCCAGAGACTATAAAACCCAGCTCCCAGAAGAGAATAGCACAGAGTCTTCTGCCCCCATGCCTGGCTGTCCTCACTGGGGCCCCTTGGAGGGGGGCGGGTTGAGTTTCCCTCCCCACCTTGAGAAGAGCCCTGGCAGCCGAAGACCTCTGGAACCCAGCTACTATAGGGAATTTATCTAAAAAATTAATGTATCTACATATATATAAATAAAATGGCCATCAATATTTTTCCAGGAGCTAGAGTAATAGTCCAGTGGGTAGGGCACTTTCCTTGCATACAGCCAACCTGGGTTCAATCCCCAGCACACCGTATCATCTCCTGAGCCCCACTAGGTATGATTTCTGAACACAGAGTCAGAAGAAAGCTTTTTGGGCCACCTCTGGGTGTGGACCCCAAAAACAAAAAAAATAATCATAACAATAACAACTTTCCCAGCATTACTTCAAGATGTTGCTTATTGACTCTGAGCGCCGTGGGAGGCATTTTTTGTGAGAGTCAAAACAAGTCTAGAAACCCTTCCCCAGTGTTACTGTTCCTGAGGAAATTTGAAACACATTGAAAGCAGAATATGCGGAATCACGTTTCTACTCCCATGTATTGTCTGGGTAAGTTTATTCCTTTCTTTTTGCCTGTTCTCAATTCATAGATGATGCTTCCTCTTCTGCCGTCAGCCCTGCTAGGCTGTGTTTCTTTAGGTGTTTTGAAATAAAACAAATAAGAATTTTGACATTTTAAATATACTTGCAGAAAACTCTGATTTATATTACTGTTCCTGACACTGATAAGCAGTTATATGTCATTAGTTACTTAAATGTTTTCTGTAATTATGTAAATCATGTTGACACTTTCTAGTCGGGTGATCGCATGGTGGGAGTTTAGTCATTTGCCAAGTTCTGCCATCCATCAGGTAACCCATCCTCACCCTTCTGAAATAAACAGCTGTCAAAAGATTCTTGCCTTCTTGCTGTCATTGACTCTGATGTTTTGCTAGTGCTCTGTCTATGAGGCAACAGGTAAAGATACCTTCAAAGCCTCTCTCTTAGGGTTCTCTTTAATTTTTTTTTGGGGCGGGGGAGCACAACCAGCAGTGTTTGGGGGCTACTTCTTACTCCTGTGCTCAGGGATTGTTTTCTGCAGTACTTGGGAAATCATGTGATGTCAGGAATTGAGTCTGGGTCTCCTGCCTGCAAAGAATGTGCTGTACCCTTCTGAGTCATCTCCCAGACTCCGAAGATGCTTGATTCAGAGATGAACCGGTGTAGAGTGATGATCAGCGAGAGGGAGGGCGATCAAGACAGGCCTACAGATGATCACCATGCAACGTGGGAGATGTAAGTTCCCACAGCTCGGCATGATTGCTGGGCCAAGAAGACGACTCGGCTTTGGGGAAGTCAAGGACACTTCCACCCATGAAATGATCCCTGATCTGGGTCTTGAGTCTTCAGTGGTAAATGAACCAGGAGAGGCAGCCCCCCGGCAGCTGTGCAGAGAGAGCCCAGGAAAGCACGCTGCTCAGGTGCATCTGTGCATGGCCTGGTGATTCAGCCAAATGTGGAGCATGGCAGATCTCCTTCAGAAAGGCCTTGGCAGTCCCAGTGTGTGGGGGGAAATCATCTTTATTTTCTCTATTTTATTTTTCTTTGTTTCCTTTTTTGCGGTGCTGAGGATGGAAGCCAGGGCCTCAGACACACAAAGCAGGCTCGCTGCCCCTGGCCCATATCCCTGTTTCACTACTTATTCTCTGAGCAGTGAAGTCACCAAGGTTCTGGAACTCAAGAACAGAGGGGCTCCCACTTTCTAGGGCAGAACCAGCATGCCCTGGAGACCAGCCAGCCCTCTGTGTTTGCAGCCTAGGAGGAGATGTGCTGCCCCAAGCACAGGACAGAAGGAAGTTCCTTCTAGCTCAGAGAGTGATGCTAATGCAGACAGCATTTCTGTTTGTGGCTGCCAGTGGCCCAAAGGAGAAGGCAAAAGAGAAGCACAGTTAGCTACCCCTGCTCAAGACAGCTATAGCAAACACAGTGAAATGTTAGGAGGCAAGGGGGGAGGGTGGATCCCCACTCAACAGCCCAGAGTCTGAGGTCCCAGGAGAGTAGGGGTGGCTTGTGGTACTCACTTCCGGGCAGCATAACCTGCCTCTTCCTGTGTGGGACCCTGAGGCCTAACCTGTGGGTTCAGGTTTGACTTGAATACCAAGTCGACTAGGCCTCTTAGCTGGGTTTTGTGGGTCTATGAAAAACAGTCACACCATGGCCACAACTGGATCTGCTTAGCTCCCCCAGGTCATACTCGGAACAGAACAAAACCTTGCTTTTAGCTCATTTCCTGCCCTGGTCACTGACGTGGGCTCAGCGGTTGGTTGTAGCAGGGGCTGATGGGAAATGTCTCACTTAGGTGTTCTAACAACATCATACCCGTGAAGGGTTCTGACAGGGGTCAGTGTGAAAGAGAAAGGTTCATGGCTGAATGCAGTACTCAAGTGAGTGATGCCAGAATTGACGCATGGTAAGTACAAGTGAGAAGAGAGAAGTAAACACTTATAAATGAAGGAAGAAACACAAAAGAGAGAAAAGGTCTTTAGCAAGGAAGAAGAATAAAGTACCAAGGAAGACAACTTGAAGTCAGATACCAGGAAGAGGCAGACATGGTTGAAGTTCTTTGCACACACAGTTCTTTGTTTCTGAAGGAGCTTGTTTATCTCTTTTATCTGCTTTAGAATATTCTTGGGGAGGAGAGATGAGATGGAGGAATCAAACCCCTAAGCCCCCCACCCCCCAAAAAAGAATGTGCTTTCCCTTTCACTCTTCTTAAACCATTTGCCTAGCAGTTAAATATTTTTATGGAGAAACAACCCAAGAGATAAATCTGTATCCCCTCCAACTGATCTGGTCTAAACTCATCTTTGTTCGGATTTCTGTAGCTTCATCTCTTAGCAACGGAGGTTGGTATCACATGTTTTCAATATGTTGGGGGGAAGAGGACTCCCAAGCAGTGCTCATGAGGTCTAGGACCCCTTCTGGCAATTCTCGGTCCACCTGATCTGTGGTTCAGTGTGAGGACTTCAGGATCCAGTGTTTCTCAGGCCTTGCAGTGCTGTGGACCACTCAGACCACCCCCATTGTGTTTGGGGGCCACCAAGACAATACCAGGCAGGGCTCATCACCAGTAGGGTGCACAACCCAAACTCCAAGCACCCTGAAGGCAACCAGCAAGTTCAGTGAGAAGGATTTGCCCCTGGGACATGAGGAAAAGCAACTCTCAAGCTCGGTCCTACAGACTTGTGTGTGGAGGAACAAGGCAGAGCTAAGAAGGAGAAATTAAAGTCCATAAAAGGCTGGTGCCCCCCATGTGGGCACATAGCAGCCCCTAATAACACACTGCATGGGCAGTCCTGAGCCTGGAGAAAGACACCCCATGCTAGAGGGCCACTCACACAGCAAACCCCTTATTTATAGCCTGGGGCGCACTTATGACAACCTTTCACAAACCAGAAGGCAAAGGGGCCTGAATAGTGTTGCAGTTGTGAAATGGATTTCTCCTCCCATCTCCCAATGGAAGGGCACCTACGAAAGAGCTGCACGGTACAAAGGGCTGGAAAATTAGTGGGTGAGTAGGGAAGTGGGGGGGGGGCAGCGTGTGGTTCAGAATAGGATGTGGGAAAAACACAGGAAGTCTCTGGGGGTTCTCTTACCTTTTTGTCACTCAGCCCAGAAACCTGGTCCACATACTCCTCTTGGATCATGAAGGCAGCTAAGTTGGCAGTGTAGCTGGCCAGGAAGATGACAGCGAAGAAGGCCCACACGGACACCATGATCTTGGATGTGGTCCCCTTGGGGTTCTGGACGGGCACGGAGTTGTTGAACACCAGGCCCCAGAGCAACCAAATAGCTTTGCCGATGGTGAAAGATGGGCCTCCCGGCTCTGGCACCATACAAGGATGAAGACAGATAGTTAGTTACCGTGGGATCACAGGGTCAGTATCAACCTGCACCACAGCTAAGTGCCCACTCTGTTTAATTTCCAGGTGTTTGATTTGGTTCTCCGTGTCTATGTGTGAACTTCTATTCTCAGTGCATCATGGTCTGAAAAGATTGTTGATACTATTTCTATCTTTCTGATTCTATTGAGGTATGTTTTGTGGCCCAGCACATGGTCTATTTTGGAAAATGTTTTGTGAGCACTGGAGAAGAATGTGTATTCTTTCTTTTTGGGGTGTAAAGCCCTGTCTAGGTCTATAAGCCCTTTCTCTTCTATTTCTTCTTTCAAAGCCAGTGTTTCCTTGCTGAGCTTTGTTCTTGTTGATCTATTAAGTGCCCACTCTGAATGGGAGCCAAGACCCCACACTTGTGTAGCTATTTGATTCTGGAGTGGGGGTCTCTGCTCTCCCGGAACCCAGGAAGGCAGAGGAAGCTCTTTCATACAGGTCTCAGTGCAGGAGGGAGTTTGTCACTAATGGCTGTGATTCAACCAGAGCTAGCACTGGGGTGTGTGTTGGGGAGACTAGAGGGACTGTTTCCCACCCCACACGACCCCCAATGCTACATCACATCTGAATAATAGACAACTCCCAATCTTTGGTTTTCCCACCCTATGATATTCTTCAAGGCAGAGACAGAGGCATTCCAGTCTGGGGCAGTGCTTGTGTGTCCCACAAGTCTCATTGGACCCGTGGCCCCTACAGAGGAGGGTCCTGGCTTCTGAAAGGCTCTCAGGCACAGGAGAAAGTGCTCTGGATGATGCCATTTTGGGAGATTTCTACATGAATCCACAAAAGCACATGAGCAGGGAATTCTTCCTCTGAAAAGAGCTGGTGGTTCCACAGGTGCACTGAGGGAGCCCTGACTGCACCCCCTTCCCAGGAGGTGCTCATTAGACTGAGTTGGCCTAAGGCAGTTGTTCTAATGCCACCCAGGGGCAGAATCAGACTCTTCTGCCACATGCGCTGGCCCAAGCCCTGCTCTAGACTTGGTAAATATGAATATTCCAATATCAGAGCCCTAAGGCCTTTGATCCTGGAAGCTCCCCAGATGGACCCTCTGTGAAGCTGGGGTGGAGGGGCTTCCCCCTTGGAGGCCTGATTGAAGGCTGTGATCTGGATAGGACATCATGCAGAGAAGCTGGAATAGGCCCTAATCCTGGGGCTCATAGGAAGGTGTGAAGGACCCATGGACATGGGTGCAGCCACTCCCCCTCCTCGGCCTTTGGACATGTGAAAACATTGGGTGAAACTCTCCCTTTGGACATGTGAAAACATTGGATGAAACTCTCTGAAGTGCCCCAATCATGGATGGTGTCACCTCTTCAGACCTACATCGCCAGGAGATTAAACTGTCCCTAGAAGCAGCTCTGGGCAAAATTTGGCCACTCTGAGCTATTGATTTCAACCCTCCCCATCCCCTAATGCCTAATCTCCTTGACAGAAGGGGCTGAGGCCAGGAACAAGAATTTTGGAGATATATAACCTCCATGGTGGCCATTGGCGGGAAACTGTCATACTGCCCAGGGCTGGCCTAGTTTGTCTTATTTGAAACCTGTGGGGCTCGTGTGCTGGGGTAGTTCATCCGTTCAGTCTGGACCACTCCCAGCCCAAGGTTATCTAGAATCTAGATGATTTCTTGATGGGATAGTCTCTTTTTCTCAAGCCCCCCAGGCTGGGGCCAGTCAGGGCCGGGGAAGGGCCATCTTAGATTCCAACTGACATGTGGATAAGGCGCATTTCTTATGAGCCAGCAAGTTGATGATCTCAGAAATGAACATTCTAAGGAGGAAGTAGATAGTCCAGGAGGGGTTGGGAGCTTCTGAAGGAAAGCTGAGTCAAGCCTAGGCAACATGCTTACCTCTGCCATCAGCGAGGCACCGGTTGTAGCCCACGGGGCTGAAGTACTCAAAGACGAAGACGGCCACGGCAGAGACAATGAGCAGCATCACGAACATCATCACCCACACATCAGCACTGAATGGCTCTGAGGGAGGAAGAGTACAATGCCCAGGGTGAGACTGAATACCAACCGGGTCAGAGCAGGCCTCAAGAACCAGACCCCAATACGTGTAGGCAGCCCTTCTGGGAGTCCTATAGGCATGCCCACTCTCTTAGGGGCTTATGACACTTGGTTCTTTTTAAAATACACCGCAAGGAAAGGATCTGGTTCTAGGCATGAACTGCAGAGACTGGAGGAATCATTTATGTCCCAACTGGAGTGTCTTTTGGTGAACCCTGAAAACCTTCTGGATAAACACAGTGAGTTGGCATCAGTATTAAACACAGAACAAATGGGTCTGATTGGACAGGCTCTGGGTTGGTATCCTCAACCACGCAGCCACTCTGAACAGAGAAGACCGGAAGCGCTTTCATCAGCTTCTGAGCCCTGCGGCCCAATTCATTCTCAGCAGAATTAGCTACTATTTCAGGCTTGAATTGGTTTGGTAACAATTATGTACAATAAATAACTCTCTTGTCCCCTTGCCTTACTTCTCTGAAACTTCCTGGCCTAGATTGACTTCTTAACAACCTGGAGGTGGTATATTTTATTAGAAATCATTAAGGAATGAGAATGGAACTCCATGTTTAAAGAAAAAAAATCCCTCCACACTGAATATTAGTACCCACACTAGTGGGAATTCAGCAGGCGACAAGGGACATGCTTGAACAGTAATTAACAAAACAACTACAATCTATTCCCTTCCACGGGGTGACAGAGCACATGAGCAAAAGCTATACCAGACAGCTAGAAGATTCTACATAGGCTCTTTACAATGTCTTTAATTATTTTTTGCTGAATCTCTTGCCGTTTGTCTAAATCTCTGTGGCAAGAAGGTGTCCAGAAATCAAACACTAAATCCCAAGTACTATATCTCAGAACATTTTCTGAAAGGCACAATCCCCATTCCGGTCCAGGATGCAGTGTCTCCTCAATCACATCCCCAAATAATGCTGCCTTTTAAACTGTCACCTCATACAGCCAATTTATAACTAAGTGAATTAACAAGCTATTTTCTCTCTCGTCCAAATATTTAATAAAGATGAATTTGAAAGAGGTGGGGCACTGCTGGAAATCAGAAAATATTTTCTTACTTTGAAACCTACTTTATATTTTCAAAACTCTGTGAAGTTCTGTGCAAGATTGGGAAAAGATGAAGTTCAAACACTGTGTCTATGCTTCCTCCCTCCCTCTGTCCCTCTGTCCCTCCGTCCCTCCCTTCCTCCCTCCCTCCCATCAACTCCCACATTAAATCCTGGGCAACTTTCTGCACTCCAAATACAATACATTTGCTTTGGGATTTACAAGTGAGAAAGTACTTTCACCTTTCAAGTATAATGTATCATCCCTATAAAACGGATTAATTGCTGAATTCATTTTAAACAAACTAAGACTCAGAGGTCAAGACCTTTCCAAGTTCATGTATAGAACATGGCAGGGTCAGGCAGTAAATTAGTGCCCTGGACCAAGGCCTTGATTCCTCCTTGTATTCCTTCTAGTCTTGGTTTCCATCCATCCACTACACTTGCTCCAGATTGGGAAACTGAGCTCTGGCATGGCCCTGGACACTAAAACACAGGTTCTGAAGGTGGCCATGTTGGAACTTTAGTCCCGGGTTAGTCCATTACTAGCTGAGAGATTGCTGGAAAATTGTTCAACTTGTCCAAGGAAGAGTGTGCCTTCCATATTCCACAAAATGGGCATCCATCCACATAATATCAATGTGATACTCTTTTTAGAATGAGCTGTCTGAACAGTGGCTGACATAGTACCCAGTAGGTGTGCAATACTTGCTGGCATCTTGCCCCCATAATTAACTAAGTGCTCCCCTCCAAACACACACACACATTCACACACACACACACACACACACACACACGCACACACACAGATCCCTCCCCCACTGACAAGCATTTCCACACCATTTTAGGGTAGATCGCTGACTTCTCTGATTCAGAAGTTAAGTTTAGTGCTGTACCAATAGGGTTAAAATTAGAAATTTTTTGCTCATTTCTCAATACCCCAGCTCTCCTCATACAGGAAAACACCAGATGAAGAGCGCAAAACTGCGTGGAGATTTATGTGCACAGTGTGTGCATCTGATCTCAACTCACACAACACTGACAGGGTGAGGGTGTCTCAGTGTGAGGATCTGAGCAGAGGCTGCAGAGAACAAGTCTCTGGAACCTCTCGGTCCCCTCGAGAGTGTCTTCACTGAAGAAACAAGTGTGAGTAACCTTCTCATCCAATGTCCTCATGAAACAAACGCCAATGTCCTTTAGAAAACGGTGACTCGTCCAAGGGCTTATAGCTTGGGCAAGTCCAAGCAAGCTTTCTGTCTCCCAGCCCAGGCTGTTCTCAAGGTGATATTTTATTTTCCAACCCCCTTTTCTCACAGCCCCTGCAAGGAAATATGGGGTATGAGCTCACAAAAGACCTCATCTAATTGAAATCTTGGCCTTATCTCACCCAGTCTTATATCATATCTAAAGCTTTGACATTTACATGAGGCTGAAGGGTGGGGTAGCAGGCAATGGTGTGGGGAAGGTGGGGTGGGAGGAAGAATCACATCAGCTTTATCTGGCAAAGCCAAAGAAAATTCATGTGAAAACAGAAAGCCTATTTTTTTCATAGCTCTGAACTCAATTCTTGAAGATAATTAAAAATAAATAGGTATTTCAATGATATCCAGAATTAGACATTATTAAAGCAGGAAGCAGTCACAGGGATCAGCAAGGTAAAATAGCTCTCGTCTGGATGAGGAAACTGAGTATCAGGATGGAACAAGGTCAGGGTCTAGGACAAATTCTCAGTGACTGGCAGGAAGCGGACAGAACAGGACCCCGATTTCCAGCCCAGCACTCTTCTCTTCTGCGACATCATGCTTTCCTATTTCAGGGTGTTCATCGGTTAGCAGGTTTCAGAATGATCCATTTCACAGTTCCCCAAACAAAAGACTTAACTGGTTCATGCTCATGATTGAACTGAAACTGTTTCTTCACTTGTCCCGGATACCATGCCCCTGTCCTTCCACCCCTTTCCCATCCCTCTTGCATATCACGTACCCAGGAAGGCAGAAGGTGAGACAGTTCCATTGCTGCGCGACACCATCACACTGATGCCAGTCTCGATGAAGGGCACAGAGAAGTCGACCACCTCAGATCGCTCCTCGTTGATGGTGAGCGATCCCACCGCCATGTAGGCCCTCTTCATGACCACCTACGGACAGGTATAAGGCTCTAATGAGAACAGTGAGGAAGCCCAGAGACCCCCACAGGAAAGACATTCAGGGATCTGCCCTGATTTCATTGAAGAGCAAAGCCTAGTGACTCATTTACATATGCTTTTAACATTGACAAAATGAACATTCTTTAGATGGAAATGAGAGGCATGACTGAAGCACAGAAATAACCTTCCTTCCTGACACTCACCTCTCCAATCATGCCATTCCAGGTCCCATTGATTTTCTTCCCGTGCTTTCCATTGGTCACCAGGTAAAGGTCATAGGTGAACTTCACAGACTTAGATATTTTCTTCAGGATGTCAATACAGAACCCCTTGCAGCATTTTTTGATGTAACCTGGCTCTTCATCTGTTTTATTCCTAACCAATTAAAAGGAGAAACAAATAGAAAACAAGTCTGCATTATGCAAGCGGCAAAAATATCATCCTTGGTCATTAAAGCTCCAAATCCAAAGCTAGTCTTTCTCATAGCTCAGCACAATTTACTTTAGTCCCAAGTAATGGGATAAGCCAGAGCCTCAAACTGCAATTCTCTCTTTACCTCAGGCATCAAACACTACATTTCTTGTCATTTCTAATGTTCACCTGAAGTGTCAAACATGAACTTAGTTCATGTAAAACTTAACTTTACATGATTTAAAGGGTTAAATCATAGAAAGGGTATATGAACTTAGTTTGGTTGGATGAATTTTCACAGAGTGAACCCACACATTTAAGCAGCCGGCAAGTTCAGACACAGAATAGTTATCTACACCTTTAAGACCTTTTATTATCTCTTCCAATCTTTATCTACCCTCCCCTAAGAGAACCACCTTCCTGACTTCTCATAGCACAACCCTGTCTGAGCTATCTCCCAAAGTGTTTCTAAGTCTTAAACCTCTAGGATGTGCTGTCCCTAAAAGTTTCCTACAATACTAAAGTCAGCCAAAGTCCCCAAACACTGAGATCCTGGGCTTAAGACCAGGCAAAATCAGGGCTAGTGGCTACTAGGGCAGGATCTGGACAGGATCTCCTACCCTGGGGCTGCTACAGTGCCCTGCCTCAGTGGTAACCAACACTGGGATGCTGAGCCCAGTTCATTCTATATCTTCAGCAGCCAGGCTCTCAGAGCTGGGCTCACTGTGCCCTTCTCTGCCACCCAAGGCCACAGCAGAGGTGTCATACTCAGAGATGATGCGCTTCTGGCAGGGGACTGTGTTCCTCATGCAGGTCCCACTGAGAGGGTCCACGCTCTCCACAATGACAAATGGGGCCTCCTCCAGGGTCACGATGCTCAGGTGGTCGTCCTCCTGCTCTTCTGTCTCAGGACACATACGGGGCCACACGTAGTACTTCATCTGCAGCGACTTGTCTTTCCACTTGCCCACCTGTGCGGGAGCAAATAAAAGACTCAGAAAATTGCTACTGGGACTCAAAAAGCTTCACCCAGCTGCACCTGGGAAGTTGGCAGCCAAACCCAAGCGCAGAGCCTGAACCCTGAGCCTGAAACAAGAGCACTGCACTATGCGTTCGTTCACTCACCATCTCACCCAACATTACAGAGTACTAATGGTGCTGGGGACGCTTCCCAGTCCCAGGTTTCCAGGTACCTTACTCTGAAGGTCCTCAAGCTCATTCTGAGCCAGGAAGGCAGGAAGAAGGCAGGTTCACATTGCTGAGGGTTCAGTATATGAACAGGTCCTGGACCCAGCTCTGAGTGGTGCCAGAGTTTACTGCCTTGGGTTCTGCTGGGATTTTTTTCTCTACTTAACTGTAACAAGGGTGCATGTGAGTAAGAGCAGCAATGAGCAATGGAAAGGTCAACAGACTGACTAGAGCCAATGAGCCAGAAGGATGTGCTTAGAGCTGAAACTGAGATCCGTGGGAAGCCAAGCGGGGGACTGGGTGAGTCTGAATTGGAATAAACAAGGAGTCAAAAGTCAGGACTGAAAGATACTGACCCTAGTTAGCTGGAAAGGGAGGGTGGTAGGTTGGCTGGCGCAAATGATAACCAAAGCAGATATGAACCTACAGGCTGCATAGAAGCCGCAAGGAGCTAGAAGAGTCTCTATAATTGACAACAGATGGCCACATTGGATGTGAACCCCAACTTCGGGGAACACACTTCCCCACAGTCTGGTGTGCAAGGCAGGTGTCCCTGGAATCTTGCACATGATGATTTTCTGCTGCCAAGCACGACCAGAATGAGTTCTGCTATCCTTTGAGAATCAGTCATTCCTGCTTTGATAGTGGGGATTATCTGATTTTGTAGGTGTGGTCTAATTCTTGCTTTGACCTTAAATTTGTGGAAATGGAATTCCTTATAACATTCTAGAATTCATCATTTAAATCACCGCATGGAATCACGAACCACAAACTCTTGCCTGTGCCAGTTGATAATCTCCCCCATGCAGCTGTGCAAATTGCTCTCAGGATGGCAAAACCACTTAATCCCCGAACCACAGAGTCCATCAGGAAGAAGCCACAGATGAAAAGCATTTGGTATGTTTTCAGGCAAATGGGCTCAGATGTCTCGATTACCATAAAATCATAGTGTCTCTCCATTCTTCATTTCTGCCTTTTCCTCCTTTATGATGCTACCTTAAGTGCCTGCCCAGGTGTGGTCTCTACCACTCTCCATCTGGTGCCACGGTACTGCCTACTTCCATGCCCAAAGCCGGCTTGTGCAGACACGGCCCTTACTGATCAGCACCCCGGTAACACAGTCAGAGGCCTGGATTGTGAGGCCACCTTTTTGGGCCAAATACTAACCCAGATATGGGCAGGTCTCCTCATAACCACTCCTTCCTGCTTCTGACTCATCCCCGCACCAACATCTGCTTGCATCTGTATGCATGATCTTTCCCCACCATTGCTCTTGGTTCGGGGGAATGTAAGGTTCCCTCATCATCTAGAGACTACTTATTTCTTCAGGGGTGAAGGATGCCAAGGGCATATTGGGCGGTACTCAGGGATTATTCCTTGCTCTGTGCTCAGCACCACTCCCTGGTAGTGCCCAGGAGACCATATGCAGTTCTGGGATCCAACCAGAGTTGGCAGTATACAAAGCAAGTAAATTAAAGCAAGTAATTGAAACCCTGTAATATCTGAGACTACTTAATTTTAAAGAAGACGTTTCCAAAGTGCTTCACGGCCATATGGAGACAGTAAAATCTTCTGCCAGCAATTAGCTGGCAGTAGGGTCTGAAGAGGAGCCCACTTCGAAGACTTGTGGAGCTGGTCACCTCCATACCCAAGAATCCCTGCTTACCCCAAGGGGCCAAGCTGATCACATTTCTCTAAGTTGTGAGATATCAAAAAAAAAAAAGATTATGAAACCCTGAAGTATGGAATTTGATTTATTTTCTCACTCCTCTGATCTTTCAATAATCCTCTTGGATTTGTTTTCCTTTGAAGTCCAAATTAATTCTTTTCCACCTTTATTGCTAATAACAGCTGAGTCTGGAAGTCCACTCTGAATTATTGCAGGGAAATTCAAGCTGCATATAAGGTTTGCCCTCGAATGTATCGTCGACACTTGGCTCTTTTGAGAACTTTGTCATAGAAGTCACGCATTTCGGCTACCTTCTCACTTCTTCCCTGCACAGTCAGAGTCTGTATATTGGGACTGATTGATTTACTTGATACATTTACTCCCACTATTTTGAAACACAACTTCTTTGTTCAGTCGGGAAAGGGAGTTGTCTAGGTTCTGCATTGGGAGCTAACCCAAGGTTAATCAGAAACAGGTTTTGACAAGCCAGCTGTATTTTCTGTTCTGATAGATTCACTCAGTGAACCTAAATCCTGCACACATAGCATTTTGACTGTTTTTCATGACACCCATGTGAACAAGATGGAATATAGATTATTATGTACTTGGACCTATTTGAAAGGAGTTAAAATCCGTGTCCAGAGGAATAAAAAAAAACTGATTATTTCATGAATCAATGCCAACCATAAAAGAGGTCTCTGGTGACATGTCAGGGACTCTATTCTGTTCTGAAAAGGGGCCTGTCTAGGGTTTCAGAAAATAAAACAAACAGAAGCTGTATTCACAAAACTGCAGCTAACACCACACACAAGCCAGGAAAGAAGATGTACTGCATTGCAGAATCAAGGTTGGAAGTGATATGAATTAATTGAAATAATGGACTGAACCAAATGGAATAAAATTTAACAGTATTTATGCTTGAAGTCTAACCTTTAGATTCCTTTTTAAAAGCAACCACACGGTATTCAGAAGGAGATATTTCAATTAACAGCAGTCTATAAAAGCCATTTCAGGAACAAATGGCTCATTGATAGCTCACAGAGTCTAGCATACAAGCACAGGAAGTGCATGGATCATTCCACCCTGTTCTGTATTCCTCATGCCATGACTAGAAGAGCAGGTTCTGTGATCTACTGATATTCACTCCCTGTATCAGTCTCTTTCCCCAACAATGATCTGTGCATGCAGCTTCTCCCTGTGTGTCCTTTCCCAATATCTTGTCAGAGGAGCGGCATCAGATCCTTGCTTCTCTTCGGTGCAATTCAGCCCATGAGGATTGCACACCAATCTGTGCCAGGTGCAGGGTTCTGTGATAGAGGCAACAACTAGGTAAGTTGCATCAATCTATTTGTGTGTGCAAGGCCAGAATGGGTCTGGTCATCTCACTAATCGTCACAGCCTGTTTGTGAGACAGAGGTGGAGACTGAGTGACTCATTTTGAAGATGAGTGCAGAGGGTTTGAGGACCCCAAGCTCAGCCATCTCCCTCACAGTATACTGCTTCTCTGGCAAGGAAGATAGTCCCTTCCCTCCACGGACCAATTGGAGGACAAAGGCATTCTGTTGACAATAATTTCAAGTCAGGCTTTGGGAATAACCCTCACAAAAGGTCTCAATAAAATATTCTGGAAATCAGAGTAGACATGATTCTTTCTAAAAGGGACAGAGGAAAGCTGGGATGGAATCTTTATCTTTGAACTGGGTCTTGATATGGAAGTGATCACTCATTGACTCAAAATTCTTCTCTTAATCGAGCCTATAGAGTCCTACAGGCCAAGGCGAGTCCTCCCTACAAATAGTTTTGTCTGCCCTGGGCTTTCCCCTCCTCCTTGAAGACCTGTCTTGCTCAATCATACAAGCCCCCTCATCCTCAAGAGCCACCTGGATTGTACTTCTCTCAAGGCCTTCTTCAAAGGTATCACATTAGAAACTTGAACTTACGCATGAGAACCATGAAACCAGCAAATACACAAATCAAAGTGTCTTTTCAACACCACCCCTGTGGTTAAACATTTTACAAGCTCACCACTGCCTAGAGGAACCGAATCATTCATTATTTTATGCCAGCTTCTCTCTTATCTAACGATTAAAAAATAAAGTAACCTTTAAGATGTGTTATATCCTAAATTGAATTCTGAATGGGTTCCTATCCATTTCTGTGATGGAAACAGATTTCCAACCCTCTTTCAGCCTCAGTTTTCATATCTCTAAAAGAGGAAGATGATTTCAAAGGTGCCTTTGGGCCCAATCTTATGGCCTCATCTCTTGAGGACAGAAACCTTCTGTGACCCCTCACCCCAGCAGAACCTGTTGAAAAAAACGTCCACTCTGTCCCAAAGGCATAGAACTATATGATTCATTTATACAAAAGATTAACTTGCTTTCAAGTCCTGATACTTTTTTTATTGTTTCTCCAAGGGTGATTGCTTTAAGAGGGAATGCTAACAGATCTGTGATGCTAGAAAGTAGAAACATTTAAAAACACCTTTAGCAGTGGGCAGGCATAGTGAACTCAAATTCTCTAGAGAGCTGGCAGTTAAAAATAAGTAAATGACCAACATGAAATAAAATTAAATTATGTATAACAGGATCTGCTTCAAGAAAGTCCTCAGTGCAAGGGAAAGATGTCTGTTGAGAATGTTGTGGATGAAGAAGCGTGTGCAAGGGGATGAAGACAAACCCACAGAGGAACAGGGGCCCGAGACAAGGAGAGGAGGAAAATCAGGTGTCTGAACTGGTATGAGAGATGATAAGAGAAGCATAAAAATGAATCTGACAGGAGATATTTCAGAGAAAAATCCAGTGAGGAAAATGTGAATGAAGATTTTATAGCCAAGATTAAAATATGATCAGGAAAGGGGAAGAAAAACACCTTAAGAAATAATGAAGAAAATGCCTACAAAGCACTCTGAATTCCTCAGGGATGAGCACTGAACAAACATCGTTACCACAAGCACATTGAACAACAACATCTGTCTATGAAAAATGCAATTCTCTCCATACTAACATCTAAGAAGATCTCCAGAGAACTGAAATCATCTTTCTCAAGAGAAAAAAATCATCTTTGATTAGTCTCCTCAGGAAGACATGGCATCATTTGCAGACTCTCTGGTTG